TACATAGCATGAGGGCGGTGCCATCGACCCTTTATCAAATGATGAAGTTCCCAACAAAGGATGGCGTGAAAATGGTATATATGGAGCAACATGCAATTAAGGAGATGTTTGCAGTGCATGACTTGGAATCGGTATCGACACCATCCATATCGCAAAAGTTAGAGGACAATCAGGTGGCCAAATAGAAATCACAGCCTATATCCTCGGTTGAGCCCGAGGGACAGGTGGTCGAGGAAAAAGAAGAATATTTCCTCATCCCCCGAGCCTTTGTTGCCCCCGAGCAATCAGATGCGACGAAGTCCACGGTTGAAGAACTCAAACAGGCCATATTGATCGAGCATCTTCCAGAACAAAAGGTATACCTGGGGACGGGGTTAACCCCCAATCTCAGGAAAAATTTCATTTAATTTCTTATCGATAACATTGATTGCTTTGCCTGGTCCCACTTAGATATGACAGGGATCCCACCGGAGATAACTACCCATCGACTAAGTGTCAATCCTAGATTTAAACCGGTGAAGCAAAAGAGGAGACCTTAGTAGGTAAAGCATGCATTCATCAAAGAAGAGGTAACCAAACTTCTCAAGATAGGATCCATTAGGGAAGTAAAATATCCCGAATGGCTAGCTAACGTAGTGATAGTCCCTAAAAAGGGGAATAAACTTAGAATGTGTGTAGACTACAAAGATTTGAACAAAGCATGCCCTAAATATTCTTTCCCATTGCCCAACATCGATCATTTGATCGACGCTACGGCCCGCCACGAGATCCTTACTTTTCTCGATGCCTACTCCGGGTACAAACAAATTCAAATGAACCCGGAGGACAAGGAAAAGACTTCGTTCATCAAGAAGTATGGTACGTATTATTATAATGTAATGCCCTTGGGCTAAAAAATGCACGAGCCACATATCAACTCCTAGTTACTAAGATGTTCGAACACCAAATCGGCAAATCCATGGAAGTTTATATTGATGACATGCTAGTCAATTCCCTGTGTGCAGAGGACTATTTGACCCATTTGCAGGTAACGTTCAATATCCTAAGAAAGTACAACATGAAGCTCAACCCCAAGAAATGCGCTTTTGGAGTTGGCTCGGGCAAGTTCTTGGGCTTCATGGTGTCGAACAGGGGTATCAAGATCAACCCTGATAAAATCAAAGCCATCGAGGAAATCACCGTAGGGAACAATGTGAAAGTCGTACAACGGCTGACCGGACGGATAGCTGCCCTAGGCCGATTTATCTCAAGGTCATCAGATCGGAGCCATCATTTCTTTTCCCTACTCAAGAAGAAGAACAACTTCGCACGGACTCTAGAGTGCCAACAAGCTTTGGAAGAATTAAAACGGTATCTCTCTAGCCCACCCCTGCTCCATACTCCGAAAGAGGATGAAACACTCTACTTGTATTTAGCCGTGTCCGAGGTGGCATTTTGTGGCATGTTGGTTCCAGAAGAGCAAGGTACGCAATTTCCTGTCTATTATGTGAGTTGGACCCTAAGAGATACTAAAACAAGGTACCCACATTTGGAAAATTTAGCTCTTGCATTAATAAGCGCATCTAGGAAATTAAAACCATATTTTTAATGCCATCCTATATGTGTACTGACCACATACCCACTTCGAAATGTCTTGCATAAGCCTGAATTATCCGGCAGATCGTCCAAATGGGCCATCAAGCTTGGAGGGTATGATATCGAATATCAGCCCTGAATGGTTATCAAGTCTCAAATTTTGGCAGACTTCGTGGCCGATTTCGCGCCTGACATCATACCCGAAGTAGAAAAGGAACTATTGCTAAAAACGGATACATCATCTGGGGTATGGACCCTCTTCAAGACAGTCCCTCGAATGTGAAAGTATCCGGGCTCGGCATTGTTTTAAAACCTCCTACGGGCAGTATCATTAGGCAATCTATCAAAACTTCTAAATTGACTAACAATGAGGCCGAGTATGAGGCCATGATTGTAGGGCTCGAACTAGCCAAGGGCCTTGGAGTAGAGGTCATCGAGGCAAAGGGTGACTCCCTTTTGGTAGTAAATCAAGTAAATGGGAGCTTCGAGGTTCGAGATGATCGAATGCAGAGGTACTTAGACAAACTTCAAGTGACTTTGCACTGCTTCAAGAAATGGACACTGGACCATCTGCCTCGAGAACAGAATAGCGAGATTGATGACTTGCAAACTTAGGGTCATCGGTTGAAGAGGATAATATCGTCCCGGGGACTGTCATCCAACTTTCGAGGTCGGTGGTCGAAGAAGGCCATGCAGAATCAATTCAACAAGTTTAATAGGGGATTGGAGTAATAAGTACATCGACTATTTAAAGCACGGGAAGCTCCCCACGGACCCAAAAGAGTCGAGAGCACTTCGAGCCAATGCAGCTCGATTCTCACTGATGAAAATGGAACGTTTTATAGAAGAACCTTCGATGGACTACTGGCAGTGTGCTTGGGACCCGGGGACACCGATTATGTATTATGAGAGATCCACGAGGGCACTTGTGCAAACCATTCTGGTGTAGACTTTTTGGTTCGCAAGGTGATCAGAGCGGGGTATTATTGGGATAGCATGGAAAAGGATACCAAGGAGTTCGTTTGAAGGTGTGATAAATGCCAAAAATTTGTATCGATGGTCCATCAACCCGGTGAACAACTCCATTCAGTCCTATCCCCCTGGCCTTTTATGAAATGGGGAATGGACATCGTCGGCCCCCTACCAACGGCGCCACGTAAAGCTAAATTTATCTTGTTTATGACTGACTACTTCTCAAAATGGGTAGAAGCACAGGACTTCAAGAAGATAAGAGAAACAGAAGTCATCGACTTCATATGGGACCACATTATATGTCGGTTTGGGATACCTGCAGAAATAGCATGTGACAATGGAAAATAATTCATCGGCAGCAAAGTAACAAAAATTTTCGAGGACCATAAAATCAAAAGGATTCTATCAGTGGCTTACCACCCAAGTACAAATGGTCAGGCTGAGTCTACAAAAAAACCATCATTCAAAACTTTAAGAAAAGGTTAGATGATGCAAAGGGGAAAAGGAGAGAAGTATTGCCCGAGGTGCTATGGGCATATCAAATGACGTCAAAGTCGAGCATAGGGGAGACCCCGTTTTCTTTGGTATACGGGTACGGAGCATTGATCCCAATCGAAGTCGGGGAACCTAGCGTCAGGTTTTAGCATGCCACCGAGGACTCAAATAACGAAGCTATGAACACTTATATCAAACTACTAGATGAAAAACATGAGGCTGCATTAATTCGAATGGCCGCGCAAAAACAAAGGATCAAAAGGTATTACAACAGAAGGACGAACCTTTGATATTTCGGAGTCGGGGATTTAGTCCTAAGGAAAGTCACTCTTGACACTCGAGACCTAAACGAAAGGAAACTAGGCCCCAATTGGGAAGGGTCGTACCATGTTCTCGGAGTCGTAGGGAAAGGATCCTACAAGCTAAGCACAATGGAAGGTGAGCAACTACTAAACAATTGAAACGTATCGTTGCTCAAACACTGTTACTGGTGAGGTATGACCTTCTCCCCCTTTCCATTTGTATTTAAAACTAACTCTTTGCATATGTTCGACTGGAAACATCGAGGCACCTTTCAGCCTGAAGACCTTGGGTTTAAAAGCATGCGTTGCTCTCTTTTCCCTTAGATTGGGTTTTATCCCAAATGGGTTTTACCAGCAAGGTTATTAACAAGGCAACACCTATATGCTACCTAAGAAATATTAAACAAGTATCCAAGACTTTTTTTTAATCAACCTCGAACACTAGGGGGCATCGCCCTCAGAGGACTTATCCTCGAAAAAAGCAATCCATGCCATGGAGGGCCTCGATAGGGGAATGTTGTAATGGGCCAAACGGTCAAATGAACCGTGTCCATGTAGAGTAATCGAGCCCCCAGAGGCAAAATATGTACGCATATATCAATTATTTGAAGAAGATCTCTTATTATATCATAACACTTTGTGCCTCAAAGAAGTCTACTATTTTAACATTTGACGGCTCAAGGACTAAAACCCCGAATGCACCTGAATAATCGGGGATTGTCATCAACAATTGACACATCGAGTCATCAAACACTCGAACTTCTAATACCTCTCGAACTTATAAGACCTCATAGAGGCATCCCCTCAATATTAAGGCCAAGGCCATCACACTCGGGGTCGAAAGGCTACGGTCATATGAAAAGGCTAAGGACGAAATAATGCGGCTCGGAGACGTCCGATTTCCGCCATAAAACTAAAAGGCCTTCAAATACTTTGGTTAAATTAGGCTACCTTCGGCAAAAGCAATTTATAAGGGGCTTCAATAAAATCAGCCCTCGAATAATGTGAAGGCTTCGATAACATCAGCCTTTGAAAAAACCTTAAAAGGTATTTGATTAACGTTGTATATCAAATTATAAACGAGGTTCCAATCAATCAAACCTTCGAAAAAATTAAACTATACATGTTAAGGCATACCAAAATTTTCGTTAAGTCTTTAGCCAAAAAGAGGAAAAAATTATAGCCATTTAAGAGGCCGAATTGGCCCTACCTAAAGAGCCTAAGGGCCAACCTAGAAAAAGCCTAAGGGCCAACTCTAAAGAGCCTAAGGGCCGATATTTAAAATCCTAAGGGCCAATATTTAAGGAGCTTAAAGGCCGAAGCACACCATGTTCGAGACCTTTCCTAGATTGAACTCAAAAGCCCTTCACCCCGAGCTGACGTTGAATTAACTTAAGACTCGACTCGAAGTTCGAACCTTAAGGGGTAACCTAAGGGTATTATATTCTAAGTCTAATACATCGGACTGATCATCAACAACACCAAATCTCATTTCAAAAGTGAAGGCAAGTCAGAATTTAACACGCTAAAACAAAGATGAAGCAAAAGTCTTTTATATTAAAGATATAGTTACAAAATATATTTACAACACCCACGAAGGGTCCTTACACAGGAACATGGAAGCAAAAAATTACAAAAAGAAAAAAAAACTTCTACCTACACCAGAGGGGCATTCCCCCCCGGACCTGTCACTCCTTGGGGACCAGCCTCTTCCCGGGGGATAGCTTCTTCGGCAAAATCCTCCTCTTCATCATCTTCGACGTCATCATCATCATCGGAGGAAAGGAAAATTTTGGCATCAACCTCATCTGCCTTAGCTTGCTTTATATCCTCGGAAAGATCAAAGCCCTAAGTATGGACCTCTTCGAGGGTCTCCCTCCCGGATCTGCGTCGGGCATAATCATTGCTTCTTTTCTCTTGGTCGGAAGCAC